TAAATTAGCTACTTTACTAGCTTCTAGCTCTATAGCGCGTGGGCTGCATGGCTTGGCACTAGTTGCAATCGATTTTTTAGGATGGACTTGTATATATTTGACTAAAATGACACCTATCCTGAAAAACTCGAAGTTGGTGTTGTGCGCTGCGTGTATTACGAGGCTGTTGTAGCGTAAAACACGACCAGAGGATCTTAAAGCGCGCATTACGCCGGACAGCGCATTCCAGGGTTGCGTTGTATTAAACCGGCTACTTTAGCGGTTTCCAGATGCCCCAAGTCTCGAGTTTGTAGCTAATAGTCTATTCGCAATTCTGTCTCGAACTGCGCTGGTTGCCTAACAGATTGGGGTGGGCTGAGTGACAACATGCTTCCTTCTGCGAAGTACTTCGGCCGTAGTTCCTGTGGAACACGAAGATTAAGCCCTAGGTGGTGATTACCTTGCACTTCCATCTCGAAAAAGGGGCTTCTCTACGCTAATATGCCTAAGTTAATTTAAATAATTGTTACACTCGCACCTCGGTTAGATGTAGTACTTTCTAGTGTAAGTACAAGACATTGCGTAATGAAACAGAACAGGCTCAAGTTGCGGTGAGCAGATACAAGCCCATGCGCTTAGTGCAGCGCTTTGACTGTTTCTAGTCTATTGCTATTGAAGGGTTAGTGGCTTGTTTAGTTTTTGGCTTGTTTGGTTTCAAGCTCAGACCAATTTTGTTGTGCCAAGACTGGTGACATTTGAGCAATGTAACGAAAGCACACTTGCGTTAGTACTCTTGGCGGTACCAGATATCGAGGTTGAGGAACTGAAAGCGAAGAGACCAAGAGTGGTATAAAGACCTAATGGCCGCCAGCTTGGAGAGACATCACACAGATTCATTCGTTTTACACTACATCCTGAACAACTACCCATTCTTTTGAAAATTTTCAAACAACCGTCATTATGGTCCGCATCATCTCTATCGTTGGATTCCTCCTCACCGTCGCTGCTGGTGTGCAAGCCCAGGGGGGTTCGCCCTGCCAGTGCTTGTTCTCCGATGGTTCGCACTGCTGCGTCACCTATGTTAGTCCCTCAACCCCTTTTCTACAGACACATATAGCTGACTTGAGTCTTCCTCTTTCCAGACCAGGGCCGGACTCAGCCAAGATTGCGCAGACAACTGCAGGACTGCCACACGCGACAGTGACAACAAAGCCTGTGCCGCTAACGGCAAATATTCCGATGTCAGCTCCTGGAATGCCCAATTCCGCGCGTCTTGCCGTAGCAGGGGAAGCATCGATTGAGTTGCCTTACTCTATCGTACCAAGTGGCAAATCAGTTGGAGGTGGACGTTGTTAAGCGAGGTGATGAAGAAGGCGGGCTGAGCGTCATTGCAGATGGGGGCGTGTTGGTTTGTGTATTATTATTATTCCATTATAGTCCTGTATCAGCCGTTGGCTATGTAGGACTTTGGCCGACGGCCGTTCTATCTAACTAGTTACAATTTGATA